ACATTAACAATATCTATAATATATTTTTAATATGGATGTTTAATAAACGAAATTTATCATTATAAGGTTTTATGATTATAAATATATTTTTATAACAAAATTTTGAGCTATTAAAAATTGAATGCAAATTTTAAAATTAAAACATTAAATTCTCAATATTTTTTCAATGAAAGTATCAAAATATAAGTATGTATTTTTATATGTTATGTAATTTAATTTAAATTATATATATGTATTATTATAATAATATTAAATAAGACTTCTTACACATATATTTTCTAATTATTTGTATCTTATTATAATAAAATTTTAAACCATTAATAACAAAAAAATTATTTGAGACTTTTAACAGTGTAGTAATTTATACCCGTTTAAAAATTTAAAATAAAATATATACAAAAATATAAAATTTATTATATATATAATGTAATTGTGTAATTTATTTTAATAACAAATATTTAAACATAAATGGTAGACGGTATACAATTTTTTAGCAAATCTTTATTATTGAAATGATTAATTGTCATATATATATATATATATATATATATATTTTAATCACATATGGTAATTCCGTAGCTTTTATTTAAGGAAATAATGAATAATAAACTTTTAAGATTTATAAGATATGCGACCAACAACTTTCTAGTAAATATATGTTAAAACTATGGTATATGTAAAGTGCTCTAGAATTGTATTAAATAGAATTTAGAAGGCAAAGAGATATGTCACATAGGATTAGAGTTATTTTTAATTAATACAAAACTTAAGGTTACAACTTTTTAAATGATCATCTATTAATATATAAGGGATAAGAAGGTTCGTATTATGATATAAATAAATTCCAGCTGGTAGATAGTTTAAAAACATTATGAAAAATTTTTAGTTAAATGATTCTGATAAATGAAAACAGTTAGAGACACAATTTTCATTGATAAGAGTTGTAAGTAAAAAATAATTGCTTATTCTGTTAGCTATCTTTTTAACATTCATTTTAAAAAAAAATCTTAAACATAATGTTTTTAAATATGTATAAAATTATTTATCTGTTTTACAATCTATATAGTTTTTATGGATTTGTTGATTAAAAACTACCTTCAATTTTTTTTATATGTACAATACGTTTAAAAATTACTTTATATATACATTTTTTGTATATCCTTGTCTATGCAATATACAACTAATGAAATTATTAATAATTTTATTTTATTTTTAATGAAATATTTATATAACGTATAAGGATATTGTTAAATATTTTTTCGTAAACAATACATTCAAAATGTAAAATAATTTACGAGATTTGTAACTGAAATTGTAAATATACTTGTTATCTAAAATTAATTTTATTTATATTTAAATTATACTATATATAAATTTTATATTGTTATCTATATAATAGAGCATAATAGAATTACTAACTACTAATTGTATTTTTATCATTATTATTTATAAAATATGCAAGGAAAAGTTTCCAGATCTCTCTTTTTGTAAAAAAATATGGGAAAATTCTACTTTTACATTTTTTTTAGTACCACTATTCATATATACAAAGATTACTAATTGTCGTCATGAAATCGCGAAGTGGCGGAAAAACAATCCACCATATGGTAAAGAGAAAATTCAAAATCTCCAACGAGCACTAGAAGAAGTTCAAATGGATGATGATAGGATGCAAGAGGATATTTTGGAAGTATCTAGGAAATTACAAGAAGCATATAAGGATGAGGAGGAATAGTGGTATCAAAAGAGTCGTACTATGTGGTACTCTTCGGGGGATCTTAACACCCAGTTTTATCATGTTTTAACAAAACAGAGGCGGGTGCGTAACAGAATTGTGGGGCTTCACGATGATTCTGGAAACTGGGTAACAGAGGAACATGGGGTGGAACAAGTAGCAGTAAACTATTTTGAGGAGTTGTTTACTTCTACTTCTCCCTCAGAATTTGATAGTTTTCTAGATGAAATTCCCTCAAATATCACACCAGAAATGAACTTAAGGTTGTTACGGATGGCCACAGAGGAGAAGGTTAGACATGCTTTATTTATGATGCATCCCTCGAAGGCACCTGGACCTGATGGTATGACAGCGCTTTTTTTCCAGCACTCTTGGCACATTGTCAAAAAGGATTTGGTAGAGATGGTGAATGATTTTCTGGTTTCGGGAATTCTGGATTCTCGTTTAAATATTACTCATATTTGTATGATCCCGAAGACGAAGAGACCTACAAGGATGACTGAACTTAGACCGATAAGTCTGTGTAATGTTGGCTATAAGATTATCTCAAAAGTATTATGCCAACGGTTGAAACGCTGTTTGCCCAGGTTAATATCAGAGACCCAATCCGCTTTGGTCCCAGGGAGGCTCATTTCGGATAATATCCTTATTGCTCAGGAAATGTTTCATGGTTTGAGAGCTAATAAATCCTGTCAGGGAAAGTTTTTGGCGATAAAAACGGATATGAGTAAAGCGTATGATAGGGTAGAATGGAGTTTTATTAAGGCCTTGTTTCACAAGATGGGTTTTGCTCCTCACTGGACAAAACTTATGATGGAATGTATTTCGTCGGTTCAATATCGCATTTTGATAAATGGTCAACCTAAAGGTTATATTCTACCGCAGAGAGGCCTCTGACAAGGGGATCCTTTGTCTCCTTACCTTTTTATTATGTGTACTGAGGCTTTAATCACCAATATTAAAAAGGCAGAGAGGCAGAGCCGGTTAACAGGAATGAAAGTCGCTAGAGCGTGTCCAGCGATATCTCATCTTCTTTTTGCCGATGATAGTCTTTTCTTTTGTAAGGCACAGCCAGAGGAGTGTCAAACTATCCTTACAATTCTTAAGGAATACGAGGATGTTTCAGGACAATTAATTAATTTCCAGAAATCCTCAATTCAATTTGGTCATAAAATCGGGGAGGAAAACAAACAGGTGTTACGGAATATACTAGGGATACATAATATAGGTGGTATGGGATCTTATCTAGGTCTGCCAAAGAGTTTAAACGGGTCTAAGATACAAGTTTTTGGATTTGTTCAGGACAGATTACATAAAAGGGTTAATGGTTGGACTTTCAGGTTCTTCACGAAGGGAGGGAAAGAGGTAATTATAAAATCTGTGGTTACTGCATTACCAAATCATGTGATGTCCTGCTATAGGTTACCTAAGGAAACTACAAAGAAACTAACTGCTGCGGTAGCACGATTCTAGTGGACCCCGGGGGGGGGGGAGTACAAAAGGTATGCATTGGAAGTCTTGGGATAAATTATGTCTAAGCAAGGAGGATGGAGGCTTAGGTTTTAAAGATCTTGAGGATTTTAACACGGCTATGCTGGGAAAACAACTATGGCGTCTCATTGAGAAACCAAATACTTTGTTCTCTCGTGTGTTTAAAGGTCGGTACTATAGGAATGGGTCGCCTCTTGACCCAATTTGTTCATACTCTCCGTCATATGGCTGGAGAAGTATAATCTCAGCTAGATCTCTGGTTAGCAAATGACTTATTAAACGGGTGGGATCAGGATCTTATATATCAGTATGGAATGATCCCTGGCTCCCAACCACTCACCCGAGACCAGCAAAAACAAACCAACAACATTTACCACAGGAACTTACAGTGGACGCTCTCATCAATATAGGTACGAGGACCTGGAATACGCAGGTGATCAGGACTTTAATCGATCCTCAGGATGCGAAAATAATAGAAAGTATACCACTTGGCAGATATCATATGGAGGATCGAGTTGGTTGGCATTTCACCAAGACCGGAAAATATACTGTTAAGTCAGGATATCATGTGGAAAGGGTGTATCCCACTAAAGAAAGGCCAACTGGTTTTCAGGGTCTCACAGTGGATGCTTTAAAAGCTTTTTGCTGGAAGCTAAGGTGCCCCCCTAAGATAAAACATTTCTTATGGCAACTACTATCGGGATGCATTGCTGTAAGGAAAAATTTTCAGGCCAGGGGGATAAATGGTGATATTTACTGTGACAGATGCGGAGCCTCGGAAGAATCGATTAACCATGTTTTCTTTGAGTGCCCTCCAGCACGTCAAGTTTGGGCTCTATCAAAGATTCCTTTAAACCCGGTAACTTTTCCTACAATGTCTCTGTTTACAGATACGGATAGGTCGAAATAGTAAAATTTTCAGTAATTTGGACATTGATCTGAATGACACTCTTCAGTTGGCCGAGACAGAATCACTTCTTTGGGCGGAGGCTCAGCTTGGATCATCTCAGAGTGAAACACAATCAGCTACTACTGCGACCATACCGGTCAGAACAGGACGTTGGTGTTTTATAGATGGTTCTTGGAAAGATAAGGATATTTTTGATGGACATGGTTGGTATAGTACACTGGAAGGCTTTGTGGGTCTCATGGGAGCAGAAATGTCAGAGCTAGCCTTTCACCTCTTCATTCGGAGGTCGAGGCGCTTATTTGGGCAATGGAGAGCATGAAGAATTTGCGTCAATATCAAGTTACCTTTGCAACAGATTGTTCTCAATTGGTGAATATGGTGTCGGAACCAGAAGAATGACCAGCTTTTGCAAGTTATTTGGAGGATATCAGGATGCTTAAAGGACATTTCCACAGCTCGGAAATTATCTATGTTTCAAGAACACTAAATTTACAGGCGGACAGTCTAGCACGCAGTGCCAGAAGACAATCGTCTTTCGTTGTTCACATGGATATGGAGCTATCAGGATGGTTTGCAGAGTCAATATGAGTCTGTATTTTTACTGATAAAAAAAAAAAAAAATTCATATATACACTTAGAAGGAGGACATTTTCAGAAATATCTAGATCATTAATAGGAAAAAGACAAAAAATAACCCTTTCATAAATTGATCATAATTTCCTTATCTCTTTCTTGAGAGTTCGACAGAAAGACGGCGATGGCAACGTGACGACGGTGACGAAATCGAGCGATGAGATAATCCAGAGTTCCACTTGTATTCACAGATGTGAGCAAGGGGAGACAATGGTTTGATTGAAGAAGACGATGTTGACGCTATTGCCGAGGAAAACGGTGTTGACTACGAAAGCGATTCCGAACTTTCCTCAAACCTCTGTGACTTTGCCGCCGCTGCTCAGTCCGTTGACATCGTCGCCTTGCGCACCGCCATTGGTACTTCCTTTCTTCTTCTGTTTCTTCTATACGAATCTCTTAAAGTTATTGTGCTTACCCTTTTGGTCAAACTTGAGTTTTAGTTTCACCTTCGATTGCGTTGTGCTTTGGTTAGCATGGCTAGGATGTAAAGCATCAACTTTTTTTAATGGAACTAGTCATCTTTGAAACCAGCTGTATAAAAGAGTGTATTTGCATTGACAGTCTTTAACTCAGAATTTAAAACGTAATATGTGTTCTGTCTGTTTTGGTTTCTGTTTTTTTGAGTGATTTGTTGTGTTTCTACTTTTGCTTCTTCTTTCATATGATAACATCACTGCTCTGTTTGTTGTGTGCGCTTAGCTTTGCTTAGGATAGAGAAGCGAAACAAAAGAACTTCATTTTTCTGTGTAATGTGTATTATGTCTGTTTTGAGTGATTTGTTGCTTGAGGCTGTGATGGACATACCAAAAGATCTGTATTCTATTATTCACTGATGAAAAGTTGGTTAGTTTCTACTGGCAGACAAGTAAATTTATCAGATTTGCATCGTATGTTCTTATGTCTGTGATTTTAGTACAGAACGTTAAGTTGGTTAGTTTCTTTTTTTACTTTGAATTTTGATAGACAATTTGAATGGGGGAGTTGATGAGCCACTCGAGGATAATGACTCGGCACTTCACCTAGCGTGTCTATATGGTCACCTCCCTTGTGTTCAGGTTTCTTTTGCTTTTGCTGCCTTCTTCTTGGTCATTTCTACCCAACCTTTGATGTAAACTACTACACATTAATGGCCTAATGAGTGTTTACTGCAGCTTCTCCTGGAGAGAGGTGCTAATATGGAGATCAAAGATGAAGATGAAGCCATTCCTCTGCATGATGCTTGTGCTGGAGGTAAAGTTGGTCTTGGCCCTCTTTTGGTATCTCTTTCTCACAGCATGTTCAAGTTTTATAGATTCTCTTTTTTTTTTTTAACTTGGGGGCTCGCAGGATACTTGGAGATAGTAGAGCTTCATTTCAACCGAGCTAGTGATCCTGAGTGTGTGAAGAGAATGTGACACTGTAAGTATTATCCTCCATCGACCAATCACTCATATTCTCGATCTCTCTGAACTGTTATTAATGACAAAGTTATGTTTCTTGTTCTCACAGCCTCTGCATCATGCAGCGAGAGGTGAGCATGTCAACTTGATTAATTTTTTGCTGAGTTCAGGTGCTTCACCAACAATCAAAAACTCGTATGGGAAGGTAAACGTTCGAAAACATTTTGTATCTTTGGTTCTCCTTGTTTTCTTGATTAGTGATAGCAAGCTTGTGATTATCTGCAGACACCAAGTGAATTAGCTGATGTAAACACTGATGCCAGGAGGATCCTCGAAGCTGCCACTGGCGACTCACTTAGCTCCTAAAGTTTCTGCCTAGTTCTTGGGCAGTGATGTTACGGAATATTTTTCAAAATGTTTTGACTTGTCTTTCACTGTTTTTATACAAAGGATTATGAGAGAGGAAATCGACGAGGCTTCTGAGGTCCCTCTCCCTTTGGATAATGAGATAGGATCCTCCGGGGACCCCCGACTCCCGACCTGCCAGATTGATGCATCATGGATTGATCATGGGAGTGTTAGTGGCTTAGGGTGGTGTTTCAAGGACACAATGATCTATGGATGGGTCGGACAACGGGCGTGCAGGAGAATCTTTCAGCCCTGCATGCAGAGATGGAAGGGCTACTATGGGCAGTCTCATGCTTGAGAGACTTGCGGATCAACTCGGTGAGGATTGAGACAGATTGCGCGGATTTAGTAGACATGTCTACTAATCCGGAGGAATGGCCAACCTTCACAACAGAGATTGAGAGGCTTAAGAGTCTACAGGAGGACTTTGAAGATATGAGGTTTTCTCATATTCCTCGTAGTAGGAATGAACGAGCGGATGGTTTAGCTAAAGAGGCGAGGAGAAAAGGATTCACTTTTTCCCATATAGATCAGACCAGGCCAGACGGAGATGCTCTTAGGAGGATCGACGCGTCTGATCACCACTTGATCTAGCTTTAAAATGGGCGGTTGACAAAAAAAAAAAAAATTCAAAGGATTATAACCTGATACCTAAGATTTTAAAATGTGTCGGTTTTCAGGTGAAATTTATTATCAGATTAATAGTAGATTTGAATGGCTTCTCGTTAAGCCTTTTATATAAAGAACAAAGATGCTAATAAAAGCCTCGTCGTATTGCAGTCATGTTTGGAAGTGTTCCTTTAACAATTGATATTGTGACTTATAACTAGTAGGGGAGAGAGAGAGACCTCACTGATGCGCCGTTAACTTATATGCCTGTTTTGCTATGTCCATGAGCAAACACTAAAAATGATAGAATATGTTGAAGTGTTCAAAGACCTTGAATTAATCAAGGCAGGTGTGAAAGCTACGCTTTCAAATCTTTATAATTCACACATCTACTCTATTAAAATAGAGTCATTCTTTTTATCTACTGATACAAGTTGTCAAATTAAATTTAGACTCTTTCTAGAGTGTTACAAATAATACAAGTCATATAGTTAATTGAACCGCATTAATTAAATTAAACCGATGGTTATTTATGGGATATAGTGTTGGGCTTACTTTTGTTTTTAAAACAAACTAGATTTTGACCCGCGCAACCGCGCGGGTGTGTTTTCGTTTATATTTAGTTATATAAACATTTTGTTTTCACTTGTAAATTGATATATATTATAGTAATCACATATTTACGATATGTATAGTAAAAATGTTTTTCAAACATAATAATATTATATAATACGCGTTTTAATCAAATAGATTGTTTCAATTTTTCTATATTATACATGTTTTTCAAACATGTGTTTGTTTTTTCTTCTATATTTTATTGTTTATTAGATTAAATTTCATTTTTAGATAAAGTAATATAAATAGAACTTGATTAAATATTAGTATACTTTATTTTGAAAAGATAATATAAACTTCGAAGAAATTTTTACTAAAAAATAAACTTATAACTTCATAAATTAATATTATAAATAATTTTATTAAAAGCATTTTTAAATAATTTTATTAGAAATAATTTTTTAAACATTTCTTATTAAAAATAATTTTTAAACATTTTTTATTAAAAATAATTTAATTTTAAAAATTTACATCGAAATAAATTTATCTAGTATATAAAACGTGTAAATTTTGTTAGAGGATATTTCATATTACTAATCTGTGATTTTTGTTAATAGATTGTGGATGTATTTAACTATTATTGACATATTTCCTTATAAATAATAGAAGATTCCTAAACTTATATATATTAACATATTTTGCGTGACTAAGTTGGAAAGTGTGGGGTAATTTACCAAAACCAAATTGTTAAGCGTATCTTTGTTATTATAGATATGATTTTTCATAAGATATAATAATGATAAGATTATTAGAGAGTTAATGTAACATAATTTTCTAGTAATAGTCCATTTTTAATAAAATCACACATAAAGTCAAGTCATGACTTCTGTTTTAATATATAAGATTATATGGTTTGATTTTTGGGCTTAGTATTAAGGAAAAACTTCAAAAAACATTAAATTAACTTTCCATCTTAATGGATCAAAAAATCAGTTATTATTTTCAAGCCCAAAGGGTATTTAATATTTTTAAACAAAACAAAATTGTCTATTACTAATCATTTATTTAAATCATGTACTTTAAAACATGTTAATATATTTTATTTTATTTTAAATAACAATCACTTTGTTTTGATAAATTTCAATGGTAACTTTTAAATAATTTATTGTTTTATTTCTCTTAAATAATTTACTGATTAAAAAAAATGTAAAGCAAAACCAAAAACCAAATCTAAAAACTAAAATCTAAAACCAAAAACTGAAAAAACAGGTTATCTTTTTTTGCTTTTATTTATTTACAATATAAACTATTGAAAATTTCTTTAAAAAAAGTTTGTCATCTTTTCAGTTTTAAATTAGATGTTCGATTATTTGAGATTTGTTTGTTAGTAATATCAGTACAAACTAACTCAGCGGGTCTAAAAATTAAAAACCCAAACCAAAAGCTGAAAATCAAAAATAGAAACTTAAATACTAAAAACCAAAAACCAAAATTTAAAACAAAATCTAAAAATAAAAACTGAAACTAACAACTAATGAATAACAATCATCACCACAAATTTTGGTGAACTGATTTTATCCCAAAACATTCTTTAAATTAATACAAAACCCAATTATATAATTTTTAATCATAAAAAATTTCCGCGCTTTTCAAGCGCGGTCAAAATCTAGTCTACTCTATTAAAATAAAGTCATTCTTTTTATCTACTGATACAAGTTGTCATTTAAATTTGGACTCTTTCTAGAATGTTACAAATAATATAAGTCATACAATTGATTGAACCGTATTACTTAAATTAAACCAACAAAATTAATGTAAAAAGACGACCTTAATGTAAACTATTTTCAAAATACGGCAGATATCTATGTGTATACCAAAAACACATACTTTCTCCTACAAATATGGAATGTTCTAAAAGAATATATATCATCAAAATATGGAATATGGAAATCTACTAATTATACTTAAATTAAATCAGTGGTTATTTATGGAATATAGTTTTGGACTTACTTTTATTTTTTGTACAAATTATATAGTTTGGTTTTTGCGCTTAGTATTAAGAAAAAACTCCAAAAACATTGAATAAACTTTTCGCCTTAAAAGATCAAAAAATCAATTATTATTTTCAGACCTAAAAGGTATTTAATATTTTTAACTAAACAAAATTATCCATTATTAATCATTTATTTAAATCATGTACTTTAAAACATGTTAATATATTTTTTTGTTTTAAATAACAATCACTTTGTTCTGATAAATTTCAATGGTAACTTTTAAATAATTTATTGTTTTATTTTTCTTAAATAATTTACTGATTAAAAAAATGTAAAGCAAAACCAAAAACCAAATCTAAACACTAAAATCCAAAACCAAAAGCTGAAAACACATATTATATTTTTTTTGCTTTGTTTATTTACAAATAAACTATTTCAATTTTCTTTTTATATTTGTTTTCATCTTTTCAGTTTTAAATTAGATGTTCGATTATTTGAGATTTGTTTGTTGGTAATATTTGTTCAAACTAACTCAGCGGGTTTAAAAATTAAAAACCCAAACCAAAAAATGAAAATGAAAAGTAGAAACTTAAAAACTAAAAACCAAAATCTAAAAATAAAAACTGAAACTAAAAATTAATGAAAAACAATCATCACCACAAATTTTGGTGAACTGATTTTATATCAAAATATTATTTAAATTATGACAAAACCCAATTATATAAAATTTTAATCATAAAAAATTTCCGCGCTTTTAAGCGCGGGTCAAAATCTAGTCTATTCTATTAAAATAGAGTCATTTTTTATCTACTGATACAAGTTATCATTTAAATTTGGACCATTTCTAAAGTGTTACAAATAATACAAGTTATATAGTTGATTGAACCGCATTACTTAAATTAAACCGGCGGTTATTTATGAAATAGTGTTTTGGGCTTACTTTTATTTTTATGACATTTAATTGTTTGGTTTTTGGGCTTAGTATTAAAGAAAAACTCCAAAAAATTAAATAAACTTTCCACCTTAATGAATCAAAAATCAATTACTATTTTCAGGCCCATAAATATTTAATATTTTCAACAAAACAAAATTATATTTTATTAATCACTTATTTAAATCATGTACTTTAAAACATGTTAATATTTTTTAGTCCAAAAATATTTAATATTTTCAACAAAACAAAATTATCTATTATTAATCACTTATTTAAATCATGTACTTTAAAACATGTTAATATTTTTTATTTTAAATAACAATCACTCTATCTTGATAAATTTTAATGGTAACTTTTAAATAATTTATTGTTTTATTTTTCTTAAATAATTTAGAGATTTAAAAAAAATGTAAAGCAAAACCAAAAACCAAATCTAAAAACTAAAATCCAAAACCAAAAGCTGAAAACGCAAGTTATATTTTTTGCTTTTTTATTTACAAAATAAAATATTTCAAAATTTTTAGAAAATTATTTTGTCATCTTTTCAGTTTTAAATTACATGTTCGATTAATTGAGATTTGTTTGTTGGTACTATCAGTTCAAACTAACTCAGCGGGTCTAAAAATTAAAAACCCAAACCAAAAGCTGAAAATCAAAAATACAAACTTAAAAACTAAAAACCAAAAAACCAAAATTTAAAATAAAATCTAAAAATAAAAACTGAAACTAAAAACTAATGAAAAACAACTATCACTACAAATTTTGGTAAACTAATTTTATACCAAAACATTCTTTAAATTAAGACAAAACCTAATTATATAAATTTTTAATCATAAAAAATTTCCGCGCTTTTCAAGCGCGGGTCAAAATCTAGTTGTATATTTACAATAGATCTCATTTACATTATAAACTCCTCCACGATTAAAATGGGAAACAGGAATTCAACCTGTGAGCTTGGTTATCTACGTAACAAATATTACTTAAACCCGGTTCAGTGTTGCGACTAAGACCAGTAAATATTTATGAACTCTCTTATAAATGATTTAGAAGTCTTTATAATCTTACACTATTAAAAGGGGGATAATAAGCCCTCTGAGCTATGCCACGTCAAAAAAATAATCAACCTATAGGAAAGCAGATTTTCGCCACGTCAGAAACCAAAAGCCTAAAAAATCAATTGTCAAATCCTTTCTCTTCGTCTTCTTTCTTTCCTCCGTTTCACGAAGAACAATCAAAAGCTTCCTCTATAATCTCTTCTCCCTCTCCCTTCGTCTACAAATCCTCCACTAAGGTTAGTATCAATCATCTTCCATTTCTCGGTTTTACACTTTATTACAGATCTTCAAATTTTCTTACATCGTTGTTAATTTGGGGGAGAAGGGTTTGGGGTTTACGTCGTTCCCCAAACCATCACAGATTTCGGTTCATAGATGTCAGAAGAAATCGATTGTCTCCGTCATGGCTCTCCAGCGTTCATCATCGGCCAGCTCAGAATCGGTCTGAGCTTTATCTTCCTTTCTCTCCTCGAGGTGAAAACTGGGATGACGATAACGGAAAAGATTCTGGCATAGGCGGCAAAGAAGTCACAAGTGGTCCCTCGAGATAACATATGAGTTAACGTTGATGTTCTTATTACTCATGATGTTTGTGGCTCAGGTGCTTTTGGTATCTTCAAGCGAGAGTTCAGTGAGTTCATTTACCTTCCTTTTTTTAAAAGGCATGAGGAAAGTCCAAGCAGGTTGAGAGGGGAAAACAAGCACAATATTGCTATGATAATGCAGACCTTAAAAAGATTACAGAAAACTTCTCTGCAAAAGCATCCTACAACATTCAGAGGTTCAAGGGTAAATGTAGAACTCCTTGAGATCCAATGGTAGAAAACGTTGAAAGAAATTAAAACTTAATGTAGGTTTTTCATTATTACCTCCTAAGATATTTTTTTTGGTTTTTTGCTGTAGGTGGGGACGATGGAGGCTGGAGTAGGAGAAGGTGCAGGTGATGCAGCAGGTGAGGAGCCGCTTGCACATAAGATTGGTTTGGTTGATGCATCATAACATACGGCGCAGGGAATTGTGGTTGAGGTAAAGCTTCTTTTTTTCTGAATGACACAGTCCAGCTGTTTCAACTGCAGCTCGACAATGTCTCTAGAATCATTTTTGCAAAAATGGAGGTAAGAGTATTCAATCATGGATTTAAGTTACAGAACATGGACAACTGTTACTTACTTGACAAGAGTTGTAACTTGGGTCAGGAACTCATAGATAGACTCCTCTGTAGCTAAATCAGATGCCTTGGTTATGAAGAATCATATGCCTGCACTGATTCTCAGCTATGTGATCTGGAATCTGGGGAAGCTGCTGTATGGGGGGGATGAAAGATTCGTTTAGCGAGGCTGACAATTTTATAGAGATTGCCATCCAGAAACAAAAGGAGCAGTTGTCTGCAGAGGTAATTTTTCTTATAGTTAAGCCGCACGACTGAGACAAATTAATAGATGCATTTTTCATAAACAAATACTCTGTATGTGTGCTATTACAGAATCGATGCGCAAAGGATGCGGAGTGTTACTAGGGTGCAGAAATCAGAGGTAAAGCTTCGACCTGTTTCCTCCAATGATGATTAGATAGTACTGTTACCACTGATGAAGTCCTACATGCGGGTAAGTATCTGACTCCATGTGCACTAACCTTTAAAGGCATGAGGAAAGTCCAAAAACGAATAGATCTTTTCTTATGTGAAACGTTTGGATTTTCTTGATCTACCTTTCTTTTTTTTTTAAATCTTTTCTAGCTGATATGATTAGTCTAATACAAGAGCATCAATATTTACCTGCTTTTAATTCTCAGATGGCGTATGAACGCCATGGTCTCCTGGCTGGAAATGTCAGCATCGTTACTGGAGAAAACATCAAGCCTTCTTACGTTGGAGATGATGAGGCCTTTCTGCGGAAGGTCACTACACCAATCTACCGAGTAGTTGAAAAGGTAAATGTTTAAATGATAGGTTTATGAAATCTTAATAATCTTGACCTTGGATACACCATAGTATAATGACCTTTGAAATAAAAATAAAAATTTTTCAAATATAATTTCAAGTATATGCATAAAGTAACTAAGTTGTGGATAAAATATTGAAATATTGAAATTATTTAATAAATAAATTAATTAATTTTAAACTTCAGAAAGAATATAAATTTTAAACGTAAACTACAACTAATAATATAGTTTAAAATATTATTCACAGTTTATATACTTTATTGCTATAACTTAAAATAAAAATAGAATTTTTAAGATTCATTGTGATCAATTTTGAAGATTTTGAAATTTTCATTCAAACTTATAAATAATCTAAGTATTAAGATGAGTACAGTTTTAAAATTAACTGTATTAAAATGAATAAATAAATATTTTTGTTATGAAATAGGATAATAAAAAGTTTAGGTGTTAAAAAACTTAATGATATTTAGTTGATGTATTTTCATGGATTTTTTTATAAATAATAAATTACTAAAAATACATATAGTTTAATAAATTAAATATAAATTCAAACAATCCAATAGACATAATTGTAAAAAAACATTTTTAAAGAAAATAAATATTAAAATACATAATCCGCGCGTAGCGCGGAGAAAAGATCTAGTGGTTTATAAAGGTATGTAGATAATTTATAAATGTTTATTATAAACCTTTATAAAGGTTTATAAAACATTTTATAAAGATATGTAAAATTATTTGTAAGTCTATACCATTTATAAAGGCTTATAAAACAAGTTATTAAATCTATAACAAGTTTTTTTTTCTTTTATGCAGAGCCGGTCTCTTGAAGGATATCATAACAAGGAAAAGATTATAATGACATCTAAACAATGGTTTGTATGATAATTTATAAGGGTTTTATAAGGATATGTAAATAATTTATAAATGTTTATAAAAAAAAATTATAAAGATATACAACTGTATAAAGGTTTATAAAACAATTTATAAGGATATGTAAAATTATTTGTAAGTCCATACCATTTATAAAGGCTTATAAAACAAGTTATTAAATCTATAAACTATTTATAAATGTTTATAGAAATTTATGAAAATGGTTCTATCTTCGGTTGTTCAATAGGTACAGAGGCGTGGAGCCCTTTAGACAATAAAAGTCTTAGTTTTTAGAGTAATCTTGTTCCATATCTCCCACCCAGTGTACATGTCAATAAATTATAGTCTTTTTGTTATAGTTCTCAAATTTCTTCAACTGGATTCTCAAAAGCATAAAGTATCTTATACAAGAACCAACTGATCAGCTTATGTCATAAAACAGGTATACACGTGTGTTTCTTATGTTGTTTATGGTGTTGTAGTCACATAGTTTGCTTCCGTGGCAGTGAACTTCTTGTGGTATTCTTGAAGTTCTTATATGATCAAGATCCGGTGAAAGACCTCGTGGAGGTATCTGGAGATGATGATGACATTGAAATTGATCTTATAATTCATTTACTGAGTCTATAACCATTTAGAAAGGCTTATAAAACATTTTATAATGGTTTGTAAAATAATTTGTTAGGGTTTATAAGGGTATGTATAAAAACAATTTATAAAGTTTATACACATTATAAAGGATTATAAAACAATTTATAAGGGTGTATGTAAAATTATTTGTAAGAGTCTATAAACTATTTATAAAGGTTTATAAAACAAATAATAAAACCTATAAACGATTTATAAATGTTTATAAGAAAGTTAGAAACGCTTAAAAATAATTTGTAAGGGATATGTATACTATTAATAAGGATTTATATAGGTGTAGAAACAAATTATAATATTATTTATAAGAATATATAACCATTTATAAGCAGTCAGCAGATGACACTGAATAGGTTGTGAAAGAAAAACTTCGTATATCATTCTCTCTATTTCTATCTTATAATTCATTTATTCCATTTCGAAAGGCTTATAAAATAATTTATAATGGTTTGTAAAATAATTATTCGTATGATCTCAGATTTCCAGTTCAGCGCCTCAACCACTCTCTGCAAAACCTGCAACTAAAATATATGTGAGCCTCCTATGAGACCTGTCAACTGACCAACTAGGAAATCTGACGTCTTGACACATGTTGCTGAAGCATGGATCCTGCTGCACCACCGAAGCTCCTCCTCCACTTGAGTTGCCGCTCGGCTTCCTCCTACGCATGCTTGCAGCTGCAGCTGTACTTCCTCTCTGTGGAGCTCCACTTCCTACCATCCTTCTCTTATCTTCTTTAACTAACTGAGAGAGACATGAGGAAGCTCTTACTGCTTCATTAAACAGGTCTCTAGCAAATTGTTTCTTCTGGTTGGAAATGTCTGGAACCGATGTTTGATAACTAGGCTATGTAACATAACAAGAGCCTCTGGATTTAGTTGAAGACTGAAAAGAAGAGGTAACTACACAGTATCACAGGGGAGGAAGAGAACAAACAAGACCTCGTCATAGGTTGATGATCCAATACTATCCATGGGCCCAGGAAGTTCATCATCAGTATCACTATCTTGGATGTTCCTTGAACTTCCCTTATGATCAAATTTGGAACATTTTACTTCGCGCCTGCTGTACTGAAGCACAAAGGAGACCAATGAATTGTATAAAAAAAATGAGAACTAAGCAAAGTAGCAGATCAATTGCTATTCCACAGTATAAGGAAAGATTACGGATTTTGAGCTTCTTTTTGTCGTCACTCTAATCTTATGTGGAGGTGGGACTAAAAGATTGGATATTGCTCATCCTGAGTGTTATCTGATATTTCATCAAAACTATTGGGGCATTCAGCTATTGGATCCTCCTCTATGGCGGCCTAATCATCCACAGGCTCAAAGTATTCAGCCATGTCACCTATCTTGGAAGAATTTCTCCATGAGCATAGGTGGGAAACGAAAGTTTAGGCCTGAAATTATTGTCTTTGACAACTGGATAGACATAAGATAACCAACTCAGAGATCTGGAGACATGATCTGAGTTATCATTTCTTAGTGGTGCCAACTTGAGACGGTACCTTTACTGCCTCTCTTGGATCTGAGGGAAGATGAGACTGAAGAAATGCCATTCAAATGGAGTAGTGATTTGGCTTCTTTACTAATTGTGGCCCAAGTTGCCACTGGTGGCATCTGAAGGCAACAATAATCATCGTTACAAAAAAAACATAACCACAGCTAGTCAATACATTTAGAAATGTACTACAGATTGGGATGGTCATGAAAATAACCCAAACGAAGTAAAACATTAGTAGATAGTGACCTCATCACTTTCCTGAGCAGCGGATATGCATGAATCCGTCTCTGGTTGAAGAAGCAAAATAACTTTCCTCATGGGACTCAGGAACTTGTTTAAGAGAGGAAGATATCTTCCTTGGCTAAGAATAAAGAGTAAAATCTCCCATATCACCACCATTCAATTCCATTATTCCTCGAAACAACAAAAGAGAAAAAAAAACTCACGGTTGCTTCCAGAGATACATAGCCGGTTTCTTCATCATGATTTAGTTCACCACCACAACCACCTGGTTATGTCAGAAGCAAGCAAGCTCTCTCTCTCTTAAAATGTAATCAACAAAATACAAAGACAAGAGAGAGATACCTATGAGTTTCTCTAGCTTTGTTTGAAGTAGCGATCCTCTTCCCTATATTAATAAATAATAATCAAGCCAATCTGTGATTAAACTACATTCTAATTGGGCAAAAAAAAAAATAGATTTAGAAGAGATTGTAACATTGCCTCTTCCTTGGTCTTCCCACTTGGGCACAACATTTCTCCCAAACTAACATCTTCCTCTTCCTCTACACAGACCAAATAGCAGCTTTCAGAATCACTTTTTTTAGACAAATGAAAGACATAAACACGAACATCAATCCTCCTCACCAGATATGCTCAAATCATCAGAATCTGGGTTTCCCTGGAATATTAGTAAAACGGAAAATTCAAATGAATGTTTGGGAGGAAGTAATCGAAAAGCTTAACAATTCACAAGGCTGTTTGGATAGTCACCCGTAAGTTACTTAATCGCCTCCACATTCGTCGTCTCGCCGGCCAGTGTTCCCTTTTCCCGACCGATCGAGAGTGTTAGATTAGATTAGAAAAAAACAGTACTGGTAACTGCGATTTCTTCATGTCTCCGATCGAATCTCCGACGACAATGTGTCGACGCTTAAATTAAGACGCTCAGGAAAGTGAAAGCCTAAACGAAGGCGTTTTAATACTGTGCTAACCAAGCCAACCCGACTAGCTCATTTCCATCCAAGGGCACCGCTCAGAATCGAACGGAGCATACAGCGGCTTGGTTTTGCGGGAAGACGAAGACGATGAGCAGGTTCACGGCGGAGCAAGACGGAGATGCACGAGCTCAGCCTTGTATTTAGTTTAATTAACTAGCTTTTAGTTTAATTAACTAGGGATAAAATAGTATTTTTCCATTAAATTTTTAAAGGTAAAAGTGGTTAGTGTAAAATTGAAAATGTGTACAGGGAAATTGGTATTCTTCACAAATTCCCAAAAAAATATTTAATTAAATGCATAAGATACTCTATGACACAAATCCGAGAATTGACGACACAATTTCCTTAAATGCATATTTGTGATAATCATTATTGATAAGTAGGATTTGTTTGGTTATTGATGTAAGTTAGTTTTTAATTTATTATTTTTTAAATGAATTGAATAAATTAAAAAAACCATCGACCAACCAAATTAAAATAATTAATTGAAGATTTATCTTATGATTGACAAATTAGTAAAAAAAAACACTTAAGTATCTTCTTAGTTCAAATATATGAGAATATGATATTTTAAATATAAAATAATATTTATAAAATACTCAACTATGATATCACGTTGTCAATTATAATGATTTTTTAAGAGTTATACATTTGACTGTTTTGCATTCATTTGACATATTTTTATAATATATATATATAATGAGTAGAAATATTATTAGGTTTCTATTTATTAGTTTTTTGCAATATATGTTTTGTTGTATCCACTCTAAATATAATAAATTTAATCGTTTATATTCATTGTTTATATAGTATCATATGTATTTATATTTATATTATAAATTTATATAATGTAATCTATGATAGTCAACTGTTTCAACAAAAAAAATATTATGTTACTTCATTTAAATTTGAGATGTTTTATTATTTATTTGGTAACATAGATTAGATTTAGTAATTTTATGATTAGTTTCGTTTAAAACTTGATTTAAATAAATAAAAATTTAAATGCCAACAACCAAGAGAAATTACTAAAACTAACACATTCATGATACACTATTTCACTTTTACATTAATCATCTTTATCCTTAAAATTTTGATAGTCAAAAGACCATAGTACCCTTAATTAATTTTGTAGAAAATATATAGTTTAGAATTTAGAGTTAAGGGTTAAAAATTTAGGATTTAGGGTTAAGAATTTAGGGTTTAGAGTTTAGGGTTTAGAATTTAGGCTTTAGAATTTAGGGTTTAAGATTTCGAATTTAGGATTTAGGGTTTAGGGCATAGAATTTAGGGTTTAGGGTTTATAATTTTAGGGTTAGGGGCTTAGGGTTTAGGGTTTAGAGTTTAGGGTTTAGAATTGATATTTTAAGGTTTATTTTTAGGGTTTAGGGTTTGAATTTCAAAATAGTATAATTCGAAAAAATAAAATTTTTTTTTTTTTTTACTTTTTGTGTGTTTTTATTTATTTAAATATTTATTTTATATATATAAAGAACAAGGGTATAAGACTCTTATATTATTTAAGGAAAAATATATTTTTGAAAATATCCCTCTTCTTAAGGTAAATGTGAATTAGTGTTCCCATGAATGTGTATTTGTGCCCTTATTATATAGTAGGATCACATGTAAATAATGTAGCTATCATTCGTTTTTTTCCAAATTATTACGAACTTATTTGTGTTAGTACTTTTGTGTGCCACTGACATGTTGAAAGAAAAAGTCACGTGATGTTTATAGCTTACAATAAAAAGTCTTCGGTGGAAAATATTATTCACTGTTACAAAAGTTAATATTTTGCGTAAGAAATTTAAAATAGAACCCATATCATTTATTCATCACAGTATAATTTATCGAATTTTTCTTCTATATAAAGAGTGTATTACTCTCATTTGTAAGTCATGAAAGGTATTACATTTTCCGTCTATCTCTTTCTATAATATACTTCCGTGTGCATTTCTTTCTATTATTTAGTAATATTTTAATTATATTTCATAACTAATGAGAATATATATATACGTATTATAAACAAATAAAGTAATATAATTATAACACGTTATTAGCACGATCACTCTACCTTTATAATTGTTATTATGAATATCACCGGAGTGCGGCACTGCCGCCTCGTTGTTTATTTGTTTACTTTATGTTTACCTGAGCGCGGCTCTGCCGCCCCAAATTTTATTATTAATTTTATAATGGTTGCTTAAGGCACCATAATGGCAGATTTACCACCTAAATATTTTAATTTATTATTTTATAATATATGATTCTGTTATCATAATTTCTTATTTTATAAATCTGACATCACCTTAATATTTTCACATTGAAAACCTGATAGATTATTTTATCACCATATATATAACTAAAAATATTTAAAATTCACCTATATTTATATATATGTTTAAACTGATAAATTCAATAATTACTCACTAGTAATTTCTGATTAATTTTGTTTAAACAATCACCGAGTCTCAAATGCTTGAGAAGACATACACCACATTCCATAAGAGCCACATCACCCTGCAACAACAATAAAGGTTGCGGGGTATACCAAATTTTCGGATTTGATTGTGGCGCTTCTCATAGCAGAAAAGAACAAAGAGCTTCTGATCAAGAATCACATGACACTTCCAACTGGTTCCAAAGCGCTTCCTGAAGCAAATGCATTAGATGCAAAGAAACCAGTGAAAGAAAATAAGGCTTTCCGTGGCCGTGGTCGTGGTCGTCAAAACTACCGTGGACGAAAGTACAATCCGTAGGACAGAAAGTCATTCCAATGGGTCTGCTCTGAGCAATCCCCTAAGGAAAAAGAACACCAGGGAAATACTTCTCAGAAGCGAGAAGAAGCTTGTTTCAGATGCGGTACTAAGGGACATTGGTCCCGTGTATGTCGTACCCTTCCACATCTATGTGCTTTTTACAAAGATTCCGTCAAAGGAAAAGGTAAAGAGGTTAACTTTGCGGAAACTTCTGAGGGTACAACGCACCTGGATGCGTCTGACTTTGTGAATGATTTCGAGGAGAC